CCCCCACACACACCTGAAACAATGAGCAAAGGCATAGTTTATTTACATGCAGTCTAGGAATTCTTTCCATCCAAGGTGTGTGTGCTTCCACGGCGACAAGTGCAGCATGCACAGCTGCCCCCTGCCCCTGGCTTCTGCAGATCACACTCCTGACGGCTGGGCCCTGGCAACTATAGGGTGTCTCCAAAATTGGGGCTCTCCGAAATGGGGTAATTAGTTCGGAGTTGGAAAAAGTTCGGGTGTTTGGAGAGTAGCTATAGAAGTTGTGGATTAGAAGCCTATCTTACTATATAGCTGTTATAGGCAGAGCTGGTTGAACCCTGATCTATATCTCGAAGTAGATTTTAGGGTTTGCGGTTTAGGGATTCAGGGTTTATCACGGTTATACGGATTTTCGATTTATAAAAGGGTCTCCGAAATTCAGGCTTTCTGAGTTTGAACACTTGCAGGGATCCCCAGAGAGTACAAGTTCAGGATTCCAAGCCTATACAAACCACAGCTGCTGGAACCGTGAGCACCATGTCGAAATACGACTTAAGTTTTTTGTTAGGGTCTCTTATTAGGGCTTAGGCTTTTATTTATAACTATAATTATTGAGGTGGGTCTATTATAAGGGTTTAGCGGGATCTATAAATGCAGGGATTATTATATTATTATATAGGATTGAAACATGCCGTCCTAAAGGGTGCAGGCTACAGCCAGGTTTGTTGCAGGCACATGTGCATGCAAGAGCACACACGATCTACAGGCCAAGGTTGTCCCTGGCCCGTCTTAGCAAAAAGTCGGCACCCAAGAGAGGCAACAGCATGCGAACTGCTAGGATGAAGTTCGGTAGATTAGAATACATAGGTTCCGAGGGTTATCTGCGAGGCTCTTACTTGGACTTGCGCTCTTTGCCTCCTTTGGGGCCTTTGCTACGAGAATCGAAATCCTTCTGGATGGCATCATACTTCGACACAGCTTCATTCAGCTTGCCAGTGGCAGCCAGCATCATGCCAGCCTGGCACGGAACAAAAATAATGGCTTCTGATTTAGAATCCAAGGGTTATTATTGGAACAATAAAGCAGGGTTCTTCTTCTGGGTCCTTATAAAGCCCTGAACCTGAACCCCATATAAGATATACATATATATATATGTATATATAGATGTATATAAACACCACAGTCATATATATATATATATATTGTCTATAATAGCCATGAAACCCTGTCTTCCTCCGTACTCTCCAAAGGCCCTTCAGTTCCCTTGGCCAGACATGATAAATACTGAAGCTTCGGCGGAGTATCCCTGCAACAGCAGCAGTCCTATATGGCTCCTATTTATAATACATAAGATCCCCTCAAGAAAAGCTCCCACATCCATGTTTGGTTATGATTATCCGAGACCCTAATTATGATTTAACCCTTTGCCATGAAACCCTATTTAACCCTAGAACCCTTATAAGGCCCTAATAATATCTATTTTGCCTCAAAGGTATTGGAAATTGCACTGCCGACTGGCCTCATCCTTGTCCACTGCACTCTGCAGCTCTGCACGGGCTTGCCCCAGGAGCTGGGCCTGAGACATTGCAGCAATACAAATAAGTACGGGTTGTCATGTCTAATTAGGGGTATGATGAAACGTGCCTGGGCTTCCACATCATTCTTCATGGCTTTGAGAAGATGGGGTCCCCTGACACAGTGTATATGCACACATCTGCATGAGACTGTACGTTGAAAGAGTTCAGCACAGGCACACACCCTCGATCTCTGTGGTTGTCTTCACTTTCTGTGCTGCTTTGATTCTCTCATTGGCTTTCTTGATGGCCTGCCATAATACAACAAGTGCAGCATTGTCAAGATAACCAACATGATAACCGGCACAGGACCATGTAGGAAATCCTGCAATTTAGCTGCACCTTGTTGGCATTCGATTTCGTCTCCTGCATTTCTTGCTCCTCGGCAGTCAAAGCCTGGGTCAGGAGGGGAGGCTTTGGCTGGGGCATCCCAGGGGTTCAGGGTTTCGGGTTTCGTGCTTTCTAGGGCTTTGCCTGAAAGTCGGAGATATTTTGGGGTTCATGCCTTCGGGGTTTTAATACTAGGCTGTATATACGGTGTCGTATAATACAGAGTTTCTGTAGGATTGCGATTTGGGCATGGCCTTCTTTGGGGCATCGTTTGGGCTTGAGGGCTTCAGGGTTCGAGGGCTTAAGGCTGTATACAGGGTTTAAGGTTGTCTGGGGTGTAATACATTCTATACAGACTTTAAACGTCTATAGGGTTCCGATTTGAAACATAGGGCTCTGGGCTTTATCTATGTTGGCATGAAATCATAGATCCCGCAATGAGACCCACAAGCCTATATATCTGAGACCGTCTGAAACCAGTATAGTCTATAGTCGAGTTAATATTATCAGGCAATGTAATATAACCTAGAATATATTTACCATATCATAATATATTATTATATAGTAATTCTAGGTTATATTACATTGCCTGTAATATTAACTCGACTGAAACCAGTATAGTCTATAGTCGAGTTAATATTACAGGCAATGTAATATAACCTAGAATATATTTACCATATAATAATATATTATTATATAGTAATTCTAGGTTATATTACATTGCCTGTAATATTAACTCGACGAAAGAAAAGCAACTTCCCACCTTGGCAGACTTGTTGCCACCCTTTCCTTTGCCTTTGGCTTTCGTCTTCTTCGGGCTTTTCTTTTTGGGGCTGGGGCTGGAGCCTTTCTTTGTCTTTTTTGACTTCTTCGCTTTCTTCGTCTTCTTTTTCTTTTTCTTCTTTTTGTCTGTCTCGTCTGACGACGGCGAGCTGTCTGAGTCCTCGGCACCCGCAGAGAAGACCGTCTCAAAGGCCTCCTCGTCCAAGTCCTCCTCCGAGGCCTCAAACAAACACAAGTATTGCTTGAGATGCGGGGCATCGGGGAAGTCCCTGATCTCGTGCTTCCTCTTGTGCTCATCAGTTTCCTTTGCTTCCTTCATAGCCAGGGCTATGTCCTCGCCCCATTTGGTAATCATCTCACTGTACAGCACCCACTTGCGGAGTCCCCTGCGTGCACTGGAACCCTTCCGACGAAGGGTCACCAGCAAAGAGCTTTTCTTCCAATCCTCGTTTGAGGCCAGCCATGATTCGAACATGTAGGATCGCTGCCCTGCGTCGTCAACGGCCTTTCGGGCCAAACGAGCAATCTCAGGCGGGCAATTGACACCTGGGCGATGAGATATATAGAGAGAATATAACAAGAAGCCCTGG